TATATATATCAATAAATCAATAAAGCATTTCTGATTCTGATTCTGATTCTGACACAGCTATTAAAAGCAGGGGTGTCAAACATTTGGCCCAGGGGCCAGAACCAGCCTGCCAAAGGGTCCAATCTGGCCCACTGAATGACCTTGCACACCTATAATGATGCATTTGTGAAGGCTGAGAGGTGCCAGGTTTCAGGACCAAGTTAAACACTGAGCGGCTTTCTTCATGTAAAATGCTGCTTCAGAGGCTTTCCGACCCCGACCAGAGTACAGTTGTTTTCTTTCACTTTAGTTTGGTGTGATAATGGCAGGATTACTACACAAGAGTGGAAATGTATAGAAAAATGTATAGAATGTATAGAAATGTGTAGAAAAATGCACATGTAATGGCAGTGAGTGGCAGTGAGCAACTGACTGAATGTGGAAACACTGAGAAATATTGTTGAAATTGCTTTTATTCCTCTGAAGACATCATCACAGGCTGTTTGTCACCTGACCTTACTATATAATGACGAAAACTCTGTCTGTGTCCGTCTGTCTGTCTGTCTGTTCCACGTTTTTCTCCTCACTGACTTGGTCAATCCATGTGAAATTTGGCACAGTGGTAGAGGGTCATGGGAGGATGCAAATGAAGCAATATTACATCAATTGGCCAAAGGGGGGCGCTATAGCAACTGATTGAAATTGCAAACTTTGAATGGGCATATCTCATGCCCCATATGTGGTAGAGACATGAAACTTTGCACAGAGATGCCTCTCCTCATGAGGAACAAATTTGCCTCAAGAACCCATAACTTCCGGTTATATAGATTTTCCGCCATTTTGAATTTTTTGAAAAACACTTCAAATCGATCTCTTCCTAGGAAGTTTGACCGATCCAGGGCCGGTGTAAGTACCGAATGTGTCCGGGCTGCCAGATTTGTCGGGGTCCCGCGCTAACTGATGATGTCACGCATTATGATTGGCTTTATGGCAGTCACAAATCCTGATTGGTTGTAGCCATGGTTGTGGCTGGAGGTTTGAGTAAATAGTTGTAATGTTAGAGAGTTCGAGGAAAGAAATAAAAATAATTCGGATTAGCCTTCTTTTAAGTTAGCATGAAGCTTACGGCTAGCGGCTAATAATAAAATGGCTAAAAAGAAGAGAACTGCATAAGAAACATAAGAAATTACTGTTAGATCGGCTCGGGGTTGGAGGGCGTCTCGCAAATCAATGTACAATGTATACAGTGTATACTATATTTAGAGTATTTTTACTACTCTAGAATAGAATAGAATAGAATAGAATAGAATACTTTATTTGCCATGTCAACACAAGGTTGATTGGAATTTGTCTTAGTGTAGTCAGGTTAAAAAGGCATATTACACACAGGAACACATAGTACTGTACATGAAAGACAGATACATGGACTCACATTTAAAACACATAAACTCACATTTAAAACACATGAACTCACATTTAAAACACATAAATACAAGATGAGCAGACCTTGTGCTATTGCAACTTCCCTAAAAGTGTCTTAGTGCATTATAGTCCTTCAAGTACAGATCAGATAAAGTGTTTTACATACAGTACAGTTTAAAGTGCATTTAGTTCAGTATTATTGTGCTACAGGGTGATCGGGCATTGAGGTGTTTAATGGCCACAGGGTATGGGCTATTACATAAGTGGGATGTTCTCCCACCTAGACTTTTAAATCTTTTCCCAGAAGGAAGAAGCTGGAAAGGGGGTTTCGCAGGGTGGGAGGGGTCAGCTAGCAATTTCTGCACCCTGTGGCTCATTCGGGAGTTGTAGATGGAGGCCACAGAAGGAATCTCACATCCAATGATTTTTGATGCAGTTTTTGCCACCCTTTCCAGCTGCTTCCTCTCTGAGGCAGTACAATTGCTGTACCAGACCGTGATGGAGACGACTAGAACACTCTCCACCACGGCATGGTAAAATTGGAGCATTGCCTCCCTTCCTACACCAAACTTCATGAGCTGGTGCAGAAAGTGAAGTCTTTGGTGGGCTTTGCTTATAAGTAGGCTGGTGTTGACTTCCCACTTTAGAGTGTGGCATATGGTGGTGCCAAGAAATTTAAAACTAGAGACTCTCTCAACTATCTGGTCATTAATGACCAAAGGAAGGTGGGCTGCCCCTCCCTTTTTAAAATCAACTAATTTCTTTTGTCTTAGCAACATTTAAAACCAGGTCATTCACTTTACATGTCACCAGAGCATCCACCTCAGCTCTGTAGTCTGATTCATTATTACGAATGAGCCCTACAACAGTTGTGTCGTCTGCTTACAAACAATCAGTAGCCAAAGTAACCAGAGCAGCACCATGTCGCCATTCTCCAGCGCCATTACGTCATTCAGCATTTACCTTTCCCTCAGACAGCCAATTTTAACAGGGCCATTAACGTCTTCGGTTCCCCATCTATGCTCTTGTCGAAGCCACCAGACTCCTTTTAGAAAAACATTAATTTTAGCTTGCTTAAAGTTAAACGCTAGCGTGACGCTAAAGTCACACAATAACACAAACAAAGTGACTGATAGGGGCAGCGGTAGACCAGCAACTCCTGTGTTCAGCAATGTTAAATTGCTGTATTTCTCAATGAAGTCTGGCATTAAAGAGAGCAATATAACGGCTTAATTTTCCCGTTGGGAGTCACTGTCTGACATTAAGTTAAAGCAGTGAAAATACTCTCAATATAGGGTACACTGATTTTTTTGTGGTTGCTTAGATTAATTTTGCTGCTGACCCCTCCACAGCAGTAGATTGCTTAGCTCCTATGTCCGACTCCAGCCTGCTTCACCAAACTGAAGGCTTGCAGACTGACATTTACTGTTTGTTGTATACTGTTTATAGATAAGCAACCCTGACAACCCCACCTCAAAAAAAATCTGAACTATACCTTTAAGTGGATGTCATACGCCTCAATAACACTAGATACAGTAAGTTAAGTGTCTTCCATTCCAAAGATATTCATTCACAAGTCACCCAGTCTGCATTATAAACAAAAACATTTAATCAAATAAATTAAACAGTTGACACAAATAAAAAAAAACAATTCCAAGCACAAATCATTGACTCTTGCACAACTCAAAAAAATACCATATGGCTAATAAGAGTTAAAGATAGATCACTGTCAAGTCCAATTTTTGAGTCAAGTGTACGATATTATTACCAGGGTGCAAAATTAACTGTCTTTGTCCACCAGCCAAATGGCTAGCAACCCAATAGATGACCATAGTTTATTTGGTGACGAGTGAAGCAGATCTACCAGCCACTTGCATATTTCACCAGCACTTGACTAGCACTTGGATGGGGCTAATTTTGTACCCTGATTATTACTGATATTAGTTCACTAGCAAAGGCCGGTACAACAAAAATGCAGATGATCAATACACAACTTGAAATGAGGAACACAGTCTCACATCTATAGCATCTTTTTTGTAAGAGGTCTTCACGTTTATTTTACATCTGGTTAGACTTTTAGGAATGTTGAACACTAGCTTATAGCGGCTAGTCAGGCCTTCAATAACTTCTGACACTATACAGGTACAGGGTGAGATTATTAATAACACTGGATCTTCCTGAGACAAATTAATAAACACACACATTTGGATGTTTCCTCTCACTTACGTAAACAGTAACTTGATAGGACAAACTAACATCTAATCAAAATTTAAGTAAAAAATCAAAAATCAGCTTTCTTTCCTACACTTCTGTAGACACAGAAGTGACAGCAGCAGAGTCTCTGCATCGTCTGCAGAGAAGTTGAGACAAGAATGTAAACATAGGCAGATTCAGCTTTAGTAAACTAAGGTACAGTAGCTGTACGACCTAGCCTGAAAACCTGAGGATGAATGACAGCAGACTGAATGTTGACTGTGAGTTCAGGAAATATTTTAAGTAAACCAAAATACCTTTAAAATAAAAAAACAACCCAAATAAGCTGTTGTTAAAAAAATGTACATTCAACAAGGCGAGATTTAAATGTCTGAAAAAGACTACAAAAATATCTTACTCTAAGTAATACATGTAGAAAATGTTTGGCCTTCTGAATCTCTTTCAATCTCTATGCCATAAAAGCTGTGGCAGCACCGAAATTGAAAATTGGCCATTTGTATGCTGCTATTATTCTACTTGCATTTGCCACTTGTAAATGCCAAGTCATTTGGGTTCCACTGAATGACAACCACTTCCTGTGAGCATTTAAATACAGTAACTTCCACTTTAGACACCAGTATTACAATGTTAAAGTTAGCTAATACTCAAACCAGCAGCATGTTGCACATTTAATTAGTTACTGCAATGCACCAATACCAACTTGGTAAAAATACAAATTTAACCGAGGTTGAAAGTGATACTCCACCAAAAACATTATCCTCTGAGGATCATTCACCACCTGGAAGCTTTAAAGACAGCTGTAAAAAATTTATGCCACTGAAAATATAGGTGTTTGTGATATACTGACCATACAAAGGGACAGCAGAAATAATGCTGCAGGAGTGAGTTCAAAACTGTCTTTTGAAATCTTTCATCAAAACATTTCACTACTGGTATTCACCGTGACTGTCTGGATCAAAGCTGATAGCTTACGTTGTGTATCAATGAGGAAACCTTGCTGCCACTGTTTGAGCCGACTGGGTGTGACAAAAATGATATACTTATGTCAATCAAACCTTGTCATACAGGCTCTGCTGGCTGCACTGGGCTAAGACGTAGCACCACAAACACAGCAAGTGTAGCTCCTATAAATGTAGCATAACCAAAGCCAATTTTATATCTTGCTGTCACTATTAACTGTATGTTTTATAAAAAAAATACGTTGGTGCAAAGTGCCATTTTCACATGGCAAAAACTCAAATTAATGTTTCCCTTCCCACACACACACACACACACACACACTGCATGTGACTACATGATACCAATGCAGCCGAAAAGACATAACAGCACCTAAAGTCCACCTTGTCCTCATTATGGGACTGAAATTTGAATCCCTCATTGGGATTGATCACATGACCGCATCTTATGGGTCGGTAAAGTTCCCTTAGTTAAGCAGCTTTTTTCTTCTTCTTCCTTCCTTTGCCATATCCCCGTCCAAACCAGCCACCATGCACAGCTGTGGCTTCTTCTGCCTGCTCTCCAGAGTCAGGTAAGCAGTCCTCTTGGCCATCACGTGGAGCTATGACCTCACGAGTATGGCTGTTGACCTCTTCTGGCTGCAGATGTGTGGCCAGACTGAAGATGGGATCCTCTGCCCTGATGGGACAGAAAGAGGGAAACCGAGGTTGGAGGCAAAAAAGTTGGATAAATCTTTCTACTTTAAATGTGTGAGTGTGTGTGAGACACAGAGTATAGTGGGTTTATACCAAATCCAAGTTTTATAAAGCATCAATAATGCATTTGAAAAGTTTTTTCACTTGTATCTCTGAGAGAAGACATGTTTGTATCTTTTGTCCATTCAAATGCTAATTTTATGAGCTCTGTGTGTATACTGGGGGATAATTACTTCATAAAAAGGGTCCTTACCTGTCATACACAGGAATCTGAATGTTCAGCTCCTCCATTAGGATGCTCAGGACATCATCACACTTGCCATGAATTTTCAGCACAGCTAGATCGTCTTTCGGTGTCCACTAGAACAAAAGTACAGCCACATATTCAGCAACAGAGCCAAAACTTAATTTGCATCTTATTCACCTGAAATGTCAAAACCAAGAGTACCTGCAGGTTGACAATATAGAGTTTGGGCCTTTTGCTTGCTGGTCTGTTCATGCACCACAGACAAGCATATTTCTTCAGCACCTAGACAAGTGAGAAACAGAGCTCATGACAGTGAAGATGCAAGCAAAGCAAATAGGTCTATAAATACAAATCATGCAATGTATATATATATATATACACACACATATATATATATATATATATATATATATATAAAATGACATGTCATTGAATGTGTTCACATGACATTCATATTAACGTGATAAAAGACAACTCTGAAATCGCAATGTAATTAACTTTTTCAGATAACCAAACTGTTTTTTATTATACCCTACCTTCAGGCTGGAGCCTAAGCAGAGGATAACATCCGCCCTCTCTGCAGCCTCGGCAGCTCCCTTCCAGTTGAGAGGTTGCTCCAGGGTCCCACGTTCCCCGAAGTGCACTATGGTGTCCCTGAGTTCTCCACCACAGTGGCTGCATCTGCGGCCTGTCCCGTGTCGGTGCAGTGACGTCCGCTCTGTCACGTCAAATAAACGCACGTACTCCCTGACCGGGGAACAGGACGTACACACCTAGAGATAAAACACAGCATGTCAGAGTAACTTACTTTGTTTGGAGAACAGTGTGACAGGACAAATAACCAAAACACATCTCAGAAATGTAGTTTCTTTGGCATGTAACAGCATTGTGTGTCTGTATGTAGAGATATCCTGTCAGTGACACAGACACAAAGCCAAAGCAGCTCTGCTTGTGTGTCTCACTGAAGCATGTTGTCATATTAGATATACAGATTAAAACCGCTAGCTGCTGTTTATTTGCTATGTGTGCACTCTACAGTTTATTTGCTCTCATTGCTGTGCAGTGCTGAGCATGATGGGATGTTTTTGACAGCTTGTGTACTCACAACAAACAAAGAAACAGACTTTATATAGCCAATACTGATCCATCAAACAAAGGCTGTTTCTTGTTCGTCAGTACTGAATCCTGCTGAGGTGCTGCGTTTGGAGTCGGCACTTCAGACTGATGTGTTTAAAAATATCCAGACATCATCTTTCCAGGAGGTGAGATTCTTTTATTTATGACTAATTAGAAAAAACAAGCTGAGGACAACAGCTGTGTGTGTCAGTCAGCGACTGAAACAACAAAAAACTGAGGATTATTGTGTGTGTGTGTGTGTGTGTCTCACACCTCAATAAACATGTTTCCATGAAGCTCAGACAGGGCATGTCTGGGTAGACCGCTACGCAAGTGAAGTCCATCGCAGTTCTGAGAAACAACATGCTGTACCTTCAGAGACAAACACACAGTATGTGTAAATACCAGCATGTGTAAATAAAAACTAAACATCTACCAGTATAAGTTCTTTATCAAGGTCTCAAATACCAGCTGTTCCTTGTGTAGCATCCTTATGCACATGTGTGTGAGGGTCGGCTCAGCTTTACTCAGGTCAGATGAACTGTTTGTAAAGAGAAACAAGAACGATAACAGCAGTTGGAGTTTAATTCACTTCAAAACAAAATGCAGCAAATATCAGATCTGCGCAAAGACTACATATCTCACCTGACTGTCCGTCCCTTCTGTAGCTGTGTCCACACCCCATTGGGGCCCCTGTAGTCTGGGATGGAAGCTGCCTGAAAGGAAAGACATCATCAGTCCTGTGAAGGTTTAAAAAGGAAACTGAAGATGGAGAGTTTGGCGTACCGTACTGATACCGGCTCCAGTGTAAACCACCAGGTGTTTTGCTTGTTTGACTGCCACGGCCAGCTGCCTGACTTTACTCTTCAGCTCATCAGCATCATCAAACACCTGCAGATGGTACAGGAGAAATAAGATGTTTTTAGTTTTTGTCAACACACTGCTGCCGAGTCAAGCAACAGCCACAGCAGGTTTTTGTGATCCTGCTCTCTCATTCATTGGCCTTGCTCACAACAAGCACAAATACATACAGAAACAAATATGATATGACTAAGTTATTATCAGATGCAACTACTGAAACAAAACGGGACTAGAAAATGTTGGCCCTTTATTACCATTTAACCTCAAGAGCCAATGTTTTGGGTGGTGACCCTGTGTCATAATTCAGTTTGACTTCCAGTTTAATATTCTGTTCACAGTGTACATATTAGTAAATTATTTTGTGTTAGAGGGGATCTACACTCAATTTTCAAAACTCAAACATGTTGTTCCTCTGGAATAAGACAATCTAAAATTAGTAGTAAACATGAATAACTCTCTCCCAAATCCAAAGGGGAAGATGTTGTAGATGACACTGAGAGCACCCAGGAGGGATTTTCTGTGTATTTGGGTACGTTTTTGGTATCAGAACTGAGAACACTACAATAGATTAAAGCTAATTTGGGTGTAACAAAAAACATTTATTGGGTCCACAAAATCAGTCTCCATTTATACTGTCTATGGAGCAGCTCCAGACTTTTACACTATGACATCACAGGTTTGAGACTTACTCTTCTAGTTTCTGACTTTGAGGGAGAGTAGCTCATGTTCACAAATATGGATTGAACTTTGCTAGAACATGGAAATAACACACTGGACCTCTTAATTTAAGTATTGTTACCTTTAATTTAAATTTCTACAAACCAAGTGATTCACAGAAAAGAGGGTGTGTGTCAGGTAATGTTCGGTCATGGTTCATTTTTTTGGCTTGTCCAGGGGAAATCACTAAAATAACCTGTCTGGCTTTTGTCATTCAACCGTCTCCAATCTTTGTTATTATTATCTTTTAAAATATATATCATAAACTTTACTCCAGACTCACAAGAAAGTCCTTAACAAAAAAGAAAAAGGACATGCAAGACATACAAAATAAAACCCAAAACTCATCATTCATTTTTTTTAAAAAAACAAGGCCATTCATATTGAGGCTATCTTGTGTTTTCTGAGCCTGGATGAGCACTGAAAGTCTCTTTAATGCTGTTCCCTGAATCATCAAAGCGACACATAAAACTGTATGTGAGATATCTGAAAAGTGCCTCAGATGTAGGAACACTAGAGGACACAAACAGCTGTCTGGCACTATACCATCTGTGAACCTGAAACAGCAACCTCATGGCATCAGTGTGAGCCACTGTGAGGACCTGCCTCCTACTTTACCTGTCTTTACCTGTAGTTACACCACAGGTGAGGTATCTCTGTCCTCATACATCATCTTTCACAGTCTAACCTTTAACAGGTGAAACCCCACCTGTCAGTTATCTCAGTAGCTAACACCCAGAGGCCCTGGCAGTCTCACCTCCTCCTGCTTCCTCTTGAGCACATTCCTGCGGACCTGTCTCTTGCAGAGCTCCTCCACAGTCTCTCTGTGCAGCTGTAACACTGAGGCCTCCTCCTCCGACCGCTCAGCCTCCGGTTTCTTCAGGACCCGGCCAACCTTCAGGTAACAGAAACCCGGTCAGACTCACCGGCTGAGAAACACTACATACACAGAGAACTGCTGCTTTAGCATGCTAGCTCGGTGCTAGCCGGAGAAACAGGCTTTAAATGAGCTGCTGCCTCGTCTTACCAGTGTGAAGATCTGCCTCTCGCGCTCTCGTTGGAGTATTTTGGCCCTTTCCGACGCTTTCCTCTCGGCCCGCGAAGAAACACCGGTGTCTGCCTCCTCTTCCATCCTGTTTTTAAATCAGCTGAGAGGTAGCTTTCTATTCAAAACACTGCTCATTGCGCCAGCGACCAACGACAGCCAGACCGGATGTTGTCCGTGTAACGATGAGAGCAGACAGCCAGCAGCGCCCCCTGCTGCTCGGAGTCTGTACAAATGTTTTTAATACAATCTCAGCTTTCACAAACTTCACAGCTACTTTTAAGCGTTAAGAAACATTTATTACTAACAAAATACAAATAAATAACATATAAAACAGGTCCAAAGTTCCCAAGAATACAAAAATCCAAATGTTTACAAGCGTTTTGGCTGACACGCGATCCCAATATACTAGGAAAGATATTTAAGGCAACACTTAGGAGTAACATCATTCAAGTATTAGCAGTAACACACAGATCTGGAGCTGGACATTTCTATAGAAGCAAACACACTGTCCTAAAAAAATATACCAGCAAATATTATACTAGCAGATCTCAATATGTGCTAATACATCTGAGGATAGTGTGTTTATGGTTGCAATGAACTAGGCACATACATTTGAAGGAAATACTTCAGAAGTCCAGCCTAAAAAGCAGAGATTTAACATTGGACAGCTGGAAAAACACTGACACGCAAAACAGCTGGTCTAATTACCTGGTTAACAGACCCTTTTTGCCAGGAGACATTTTGACATATAGCAGTATGACCATGGCTGTATTCCAGTTAGGTGTTTGGATCTGATATTGTGCATGCTGGCTTATGAGCACGGCTTAGTACATGCTTTCTTTGTAACATGTCACCCCTTAAAACAAAGCAATGTCCATTTGTAACGCCTGGTTACAGGTTGCATGTCTTACAAGTTATAAACGGTCTGCCAAAGAGTAACTCTTCCTCCTTGATTTATTTGAATACTTTTTAGCAGGAGTTAAAATGATCCAACATTTCACCAGAAAGTCTATTTGTGTCGCATTTACTATATTTATTTTTTCCTCTGCTAATCCCCTTATGACCTGGGTTGAGAACCACTTACTGGAATATCTAAATTTAATGGAGCTGTCATTAGTGTTGTTCGTTACACGTGTACTTTTCCTGCTACGACATGTCATAATGTCTGCTGAGAGTCATAAACTCAGCATCTTTCAGGCACAGTGCACAGAGCAAAGTGTTATTTTCTGCTAACTCAACATTTGTCCCACTTGTGCATCAGTACACTGACAATAGTGAAAAATACTGGAAGCAGACCTGGAAAAGAATTCCTATTACTGACAAAGCAGCTGCAGTCATGTTTCATCCCCACCTGAGAATCCACTCAATGTGAAACTACTCTGTGGTGGAAGAGTGGAACTGTCATCACTATATTATACCCTGGTTGTAGGGTGTAAAAAAAAAAAAAAAAAATCGCACAGCACACGAGATATGAAATCAATGAAATTCAATGATATATTCGTCAGCAACAGGCATCGCTTCGTGTCAAATTTGGATTTGGAAACTCTCAAATGATTAGTTATACAATATTTATGTGATCGCTAGAGGCCTTATTAGGAGACCTCACTGGGGCCAATTAGGAGAGTGTCATCGGGGTCTGGAGGAGTAAGTGCTCTTGGGGACCCTCTGAGGATTTGCTCTGAGCTGTCCTCGTTTGGTTTCCAGCGGCTGCTCGGCAGAGAATCCTGTATTGTGTCCAGTCCTCATCACGATTCCCTTGTGCCTCTCTGCTGCCCTTTTCTGGATCCTGGAGGGAAGAGACGACAGGTTTTAGCCACTGACAAAAGTACTGCTTGTTGAAAAAGGCCTGTAGTGAGAGATTTTCAATTCATTAAAAGATTTAAGCTGAACAGTGCTATTTTTTTTGAGCTGGCTGCATCATTACGGAAAACTTCTGAAAGATGTGTGATCGCATTAAAACATATGAGCTAAATCTGCTGATAAAAGTTGTTCAGATTTTGAATGTTTTCATAGGTTTGGTCTATACTGTCCTGTGACTGTGGGATCTGGAGCACACGGTTATAGAATTGGCTTTTAATCAAGTGCAGCAAATAACATTTCAACATGAAGCATCCCTACACTCTGAAGTATGCATACAGTTGGGACATAGTACTTTGTCATAATATAGCTCCTCCAACTTTGGCCCTCATGCCCTAATATCTGTTCGTAGCGCATCTACAGTAAAAATAACACGACACTGCTGGAGAAGATTCTCAGTCATCCAGGTCATGGTAATCATAAGTGCTATATCCTGGGCAACTGGACTTGCTTGAGATTCATGAAGACGTTTCACCTCTCATCCAAGAGGCTTCTTCAGTTCTCAGAACTGAAGAACTGAAGAAGCCTCTTGGATGAGAGGTGAAACGTCTTCATGAAACATATGACACTCGGTCCTTGGACCCTCACTGCAGATAAGGATAATTAAAAATTCGGAGAGCTCTGCTGTTGCTACTTTGCAATGTATGTAGTTACTGTAGACTCTAACATGAAGTATTATATTCACAGTAAAACCAGATATGCATTTCTCTGTGATTATTGTAATAGTTATGTCATTTTGTTGTTATTGGTTATCTCTATGACAGTTTTTGTGACTTCTGTCAACTGTCAGTGAACTGTCATCTGTGTGTGGCTCAATCAATGCGAGGTATCTTCTGCTGTGCATATTGTGGATCAGAATAGCCAGAAAAGCATGCTGCCTTGCATACTGCAAAATATGACCGCATGCAGCAGAACATCAGGGTCTTTTTGGTAAACTGCAATTGACATACTATGTATTGGGACACACTAAATCTTTTTCTGGCACACTGAATAGTGTGGTAGTGCTGGTATTTGAACGCACCGCAAGTTTTTATTAGTGTGGAGGCACCGATTTTAACTCTGAGTTTGCTCATGTGCATTTTACTTGGATTTTGATTGTATTAAAGTAACATGCAGCCACTTACACACACAAAACACTTGAGTTATACAGAGATCTAAAGACAAAAGAAAGCAGTACTGATCCAGTGAAAACTCACATCATGCCTCTCTTCCTCTCCAGTGATTTCTGTGTTGCAGTTGACAGAGAGCTCTTTCTTTTGGGATGCCCTGTGTGTCCACTCTAAACAACCACACACACACACACACACACACACACATAATAGATTAGTCTTTGCACTACCTATAAGGTGTATTATAATACTCACAACCTGTATCAATAGAGAGGAAGTGTACACTAAAACAGTCCAGAATCAATATTTCAGTCCTGTCTGCCTACTTTAAGAAATAAGATCAAAACCATAAGTACTGCGCTGGGAAATATAAAGCAGCAGTGTTATTATCCACCAGGCTCATCATGAAGCAGTGTGAAGTGTTTATACCCTGAAAGGTCTGGATAATAGTAAAAGCATAATGGTATTCTGAATTTGAATAATCAGACCTGGACCAGAGTAGCTGTAATTAAATCCTGATATTTCTGTGCAGTGTTTATTTTTGGCCCAGCGGTGCACCGTCACACTGTTTCACACCTGGCTGCGATGCCAGTGTTTCAATCTAACAGTCAGCCCTAACCTTACCACTGCAGGACTTCCCCCCACAGCTCACTCACAGCCTCTGAAAAGGTTACCTGTCGTCTGAGCTCTCGCTCCCTGACCAGCTCTCTGTCCCAGCTGATCAGCTGCATCCTCTCTCCGGCTGACAGGCTGAAGAATATGTCGTGGATCTCGTAACGTGCGGCGCGCAGCTGGAGGGGGAAACAATTACAGAGCAGACGATGGCTTGAATGGATGTGTGTAATCACAGTATCTGTTGTGCTAACTGCTAATGGAGGGAATAATTGCTCAGATGGCAGTGTAGCGGAGAAGAGGAGAAAGGTTAACAGATGTTTACGACACGTGTTTGCTTTAATACCTGCAGAGCGACTCTCTCCTGCAATAAAAGGTCCTGCCTGCTACAGAGCTCGCCTCTGCCGGGGCTCTGCTGCTGGAGGGCCTGCAGGAACTGATGTGTGTCCTAGATGTGCAAACACACATACAGATGTAATATGTATCTGTTTTTATCATTGTATGAAAATAAGAGTGCTTCTTGAGACAGACGTGACACCACTGTCTCTACTCACCCTGACGGTGCGCACCAGCTGCGCCACTCTCTCCGTCTTCAGCAGCCTGCGAGCTAGAAAGCCTTTCGCGGCTGCCAACAGCAGGGGGCGGTAGCGCTCTGAGAGTGGACTGGAGGGCTGAGGAAGAGGAGGAAGAGGGGAGAACAAGCGATGAGAGGGGTGAATAATGAGGACCAGAGGGGAAGAGAGAGGAGAATGCTAATTCCATCAATGACAACCAATTAATTTCCCACGCAGATTCTCAAGGTCTTTTGGTTGGCATCTGTTTAGCACATCAACGCAAGTGGACTCATCATTATAATAGGGAATAATAAGCAGAATAATAATGTGTCACTCACTTGTTGATTCTAAAGCTGTTGCATTAAAGCGACATGTTTGTTGAACAACTATAGTGTAACTGAAGCTAAGCTGCCGCACTTGAATACATATTAGAGAGCAATAACAGAGATGAGGGTTTGCTGATAAGGATTAAGACATAGAGGGGGAGTATTTGTTTCACCTGAGTGTGTCGGCTAACTGTCGATGAATAAAAATATCGTGGGTACAAGGATAAGCAGGACAAGCCTTTTCGCATCACTGACTGACATTAGTCAACAAATGTGATGGTGATACCTGTGCAAGAGTAGAAAAGGTCAACGTGTCCCCGTGATGTGAGCTTGACATGGAGCAAGGGAAGGACACGCTCTGGAGGAGACGGTAACGCACTGCCAACGCCTGAGAGAGACAGACAGAGAGGGACAGACAGGAGAAACAGACATTAGGGTGGAGGGAAGGAATAGGAGGAGACGTGCACGTGTGTGTGTGTGTGTAGACATGCATGCGTGCATTTGGGAGCAGGCAAGGTTGGAAAATATTGAATTGGAAAGGACAGCAAATGAGGCAGGAGGAAGAAATTAATTGAGGGTAGAGAAAAAGAGACAGAAGGGGAGAGATGGGGCACAGAGGCAAGAGGGATGAGATGAGAGAGGGAGCAGAGGAGGAGGAGGAGAGGGATGACGGGGATGATGAGACAGGAGAGATGGAGAAAAT